GAATGCCGTTCAGGCCGCGTTTTCAAAGAGCTTCTTTCAGGGGTTTCGTGGTTGATTGAAGTGATGGAGCAGCATGAGAAAGGAAGAACGTCGTCTAGCGCAGCAAGTATCGAAGGTGGATGTCTGTCAACGGAAAATTGACATTTTCATGTTTAATTGGTTTGGAATGGGCGGATCGGTCGCCAATACTGCTTATAGTAATCTCTAGACCCTAGAACCCATCCCCATTCCCAGCTCTCCCAACTTCGCACATCCCTTCCTCAGGAGCCTGAAGACGTTGAGACCAATGAGCGCCTAAAGTTCCTAAAGCCCTGCAAAGGCAAATAACATCCTCAGTCGCAAAAAGGAGCCCTTTGAAATCCGAAGCACGTGAAAACTTGAGACCTTTGAATCTCAAGCCGCTGCAACAAATACCCCCTAAAACGCCCTCAGCTCCTCAAATCCTAAGCCCCTCAAACCCTACGCCCTTAAAACCCTAAGATCCTGAAACTTTGAATTCCTCAAAAACTACCCCCCCAAACCCTACTGTGGAACCTCTAACTCTGGCACAATACTCGCTGAAACCCTTTTTGACCTGTGTGGGCTGCACATTACAGCTCATATAAACGCCGTGTATACGAAGCTTCCTTGTCATCGTCCATTCGATACTCACTATCGTGATTATGTTACCTCCTGAATACCCCAAACGCAAAACTCTGAATCCTAGAAACTCCGTATACCCTAATCCCTTACAACCCTGACATCCCTTGTTACCCAGACCCCTGAGAGGATCTAGAAATTACATCCCCTATATAGACCCATTATAACCCCTATATAATCCTTATATAATTCCCCCTATGGTTCTAGGGGATCTACCCTAAACCCTAAACCCTAATTTTCAGATCCGTTTGGGGGTCTGGGTAGAGCGACTCTTGAAATCTCCGCATTGAGGTGATTTTAGCGACTTTTCGCAGCGCTCCGCTTTGAACCAAGGCAGGGAGTTCGGATTCAGTGTGATTTTGGGATTTAGGGTATGGGGTTTAGGATTTAAGGTTTAAGGTTTAGGGTTTAGGGTTTAGGGTTCAGGATTTAAGCTTTGGGGTTTAGGGTTTGGGGTTTAGTATTTCAGGTCTGGGGTTTGGGATTCAGGGTTCATGATTTAAGGTTTGGGGTCTAGGGCTCAGGGTTCAGGATTTAGGGTTTAGGGCTTAGGGGTTAGGGTTCAGGATCTAAGGTTTCGGGGTTCAGGGAGGGCTGAGGGCCTTGATACCGAAGCTCTTCAGGAAGTTGTGCGATGGGATATTCTGGTTTAGAGGGTTAGGGTTTAGGGTGTAGGGGTTTAAGATTTAGGGTTTAGGGCATTGAAGGTTGATATTGACCCTAAGTGACCCACATGGCCCTGTTCCTTTGGAACTTTGGTAGTATACTTGAAGCATCATGGGATTCAGTGCACACATTATATAATTGGTGTATAGCCCTGCTTACAAACCCATTACACGACCTGAAAGATCTTATCCCATATATACTTCTGGTTTTAGCCCCCGTTTTAGATAGTTACCAAGCCCATGACACTTTGAGCAGTATACTATGGCCATGCATGTTGTATGCATGATTTGATTTTTCCCTAAATAAGGGACCCCAATAAAAAGCCCCAAAATGCTTGAATCCTCATTGTAGGCACTCGGAAGCCCTAATTTAGGGAAACCTGCATTTTGAGGATAAAGCTGTACGAATCTCTGGCCAGGAATGAACCACAACGTTCATCTTTATGTTACACGTGCTTCAGGGTAAGTGGGGGACTGCATCCCTAAGATCCGCCTCCTATGAGCCACTGTCAGTTTTAGGCTTATGAAGGGGCCATTAAGGGTGGACATAGGGGTCTCTCGTGTAGTCTAGTGTAGCCCCTGATATATTACTTCCTAATAAGGAACTCGTGTCCCTTACTTATACGGGAAAATGATTATTGTAGCGCATATGATTCCCTATAATAGTACGTATGTTCCCTCCCCCACTCCCCCTGTAGCACCAATATGTGGCCATAGCCAGTTCTCCGTAAGCCTACACAAGGTAGGCTACCGAGGTCATACCCACATTTTGGTGGGCTAATTGTAACCATCTGTGGCACTGTATCGCCTACTCTCATAGTAGGGTTGAGGGTGTTAAACCTAAACCCTAAACCATGGCACCCCCCAGACCCAAGTAAAACAGGTTCGGGTTCAGGGCTTAGGGTAAGCCAAGATAGTTATTACTGGCCTTGTAACCCTACTGATACTCCTTAACTAGCCCTGGAGAGGCTACCCAAATCGTAAGCTTTGAGCTGCGGAAATGGTACGTGGGAATTTCTCAAACTTGGGGGGCTCTGAGGACCCACAATGTTGTTCACCCTAAACCCTAAGCCCCTAAGAGGGCTAAAACCCTAAGCCCAGAACCATGGCAGCTTGGGGTTCAGGATTCGGGGTAGTCAACTGCTGTGGGAGCGTGCTTATGGCTTAGGTGGAAATACTGGAGTCGCTAGTAGGACGTCTATATCCCAAAATGAGCCAGAATCTGAACTCCTAATATCCGTACTACTGACTTATAGAATCCCCGATATAGCCCCCCTTGAAGGAGGTTAGACTACAGCTTATCTGGGCCCAGACGACTACAATATAAGCCTACACAAGCCCGTTATGAAGCAATGCTCATGGCATAGGGCTCCCTGTAACTCTCTTAGCCTCTCTTAGCAGGCCCTAAACCCTAAACCCTAACCCTAAACCCTTAACCTTGAACCCTAAACCTTAAACCCTAAACCCTAAACCTTAAACCCTAAACCCTAATTCTTAAACCCTATAAATCCTAAACCCTAAACCTTAGCCTCACACACCCCTAGGATCCCACGAGACACCCTGTTTTCAAATGTTTTCAGAAACCTTACATACTGCGGATACAGGAAGCGTGCACCAGCTTCCCCAACCCTAAATCCTAAACCTTATAAGCCTTACTTAAACCCTAGGGTTCTTTTAATGTTGATGGTGCTCTTGGACTCTTGGACCCTTTCCCTCAAGATGTCTTCCATCCGCCTGAGGAACTCACCGCAGATGCAGAGATGGAAGACATCTCCTGAGTCCAAAAAAGGATACACAGGGGCTTTGATCCGAGACTTTTCACGGCAAAGAAATCTGTCCCAGCTTCCTTGTACTCTCTACTGCTGCCCTGAAAAATGTTTAGATTGTTTAAATGTTCATTTGAGACCCAATACACAACCCCAAACTGACGTTTGGCAAATTCAATGATTCTCCCTAAGGGTCCAAGGACCCAAATAATAGTGTTTTAGGGCTCAGATACCATCAATATTATGGTATTCGGGCCTTAAAACCCTATTATTTGGGTCCTCGGACCCTTGGGGTATGGCAGAGGATACCGCAAAAGGACCTCAAGAGGATTTAGCGCTGAGGGTTTAGGGTTTGGGGACTCAGGCCAAGGCCCCTACGGTGGTTCCGCAAAAGCCCTAAAGGGTTTAGGGTTTAGGGCTTAGCGTCTCAAATCCTAAACTCTAAAATGTGCACCCTGAAGTCTTGACGCGAAAACTGTAGAAAGCTCTGCCCACAAAGCACGTCCGTACCTCAGGGCTAGGCTAAACATTGGCCCCAAGCCCAGGAAAGAGCACCGAAGTCTACAATTCTACAGACATTTAGGGTTCAGGTGCAGCCCATCATGCAGCGTTTTAGGGGTTGGCGGCTTAGTTTTGAGGTGTTTGAGCTCAGTGCCTGTGGCTAAGGCCTTGGGTTGGGGTATACGGTTTAAACCCTAAACCCTTGGGTTTTGACCTTTTTGGTCGTTTTGACTTTGCAAGCCTCTTTCAGCGCAGCGCCCAGGAATGGAAGCAGTTAGTAGTAACTAGGGGCTTCGCGTTTAGGGTATAGGGTTTAAGGGTTTAGGGGTTTAGGTCAGGGCCTATATTATGTGTCCATTTGGTTGTCGTTAAGGACTTTAAGTATTGGAGAATCTTTCAAAGTTAAGCCCAAAACTGTGTGGCTGGGCATTGCCGGCTCGGATCTGCCTGTCAGGGTTTAGGGTTTAGGCTTTTGGGTTCATACATTTTCAAGGCCGCTTTCTATGCGGCGCAAGGTGCAATGCAGCAATGCAAAGAGAGCTCTTACCCCATCCAATCTGGAAGTCACATGATATTTGAAAAACTATTAGTGGTAGTGGTGATAGTAGTAGTAGTAGTAGTAGTAGCATTATAGTAGGGATACTGATGGGTTCAGGTTTAGGGTAGAGGGTGTGGGGTTTAGGGTTCAGGTTTAGGGTAGAGGTTTAGGATTCAGGGCAAGGCCAAAGAGGGTTAAGGGTTTAGGGTAGAACAGGTGTCTACTGCGCGTATCAATGGGACGCCATATATTACCTAACGACAGTGTCTCTTGAAGTAGCCGAAAGTTTTGTAGGAGGGTACCGGTTTTGAGCTTTGAAAACTGTGTGTGTACATATATATATATATTGTAGTCTTGACGTGTATAAACCTGTGGCACACGGTAGGCAAACATTGCCCGCTGTTGCATTATGATTCAAGTCTCTAAGGGTAGACAGTCCCAACTCATGCACCTTCGAACTGCTGCCCTCCTGTGTTTAAGCTGGTCCTGGATTTCAGAGCGCACTCATCCTCGGATTGTGCTCGAGGAAGTGGCCGGGCTTCGCGAGGAGATTCGAGAGGCGCGAGAGGTGGTCGCGCTCTTTTCTACAGAAGCTTCCTCCTGTGAGTGGCAAGCGTGGGCACGAGATTTGGCTTTGAGGGTCTCCGGGGTTATTGATTTGGTATTATTGGTCTGGTTGTTGGTTCTAACTTGCACACGTCGATCAAGTACTACCCCATCTACCCCTTCATTGGAGCCTCTGGGCGACCTTGACGAAGACACCATTCCTCTGAAAGCTCCCACTTCCGAAACCACATCGCTTGTAGGAGGCACGGCGGAGGCAGAATCGGCTTCCTCACCTTCGGCTTCTGCTGGACGAGCACGGCCCACTCGCCCCTCAGATCTTAGGAGATGGCGGACTTGACTCTTGATATTCCAGAAGTTCAGGTGGTTGTCAATTATCCTCTGGACGATGCAGGGTTTCATTGGCATCACAGAATCCTTCTTCACAGGATTGAGGGTGGAGTGTGGCTTGCTTTGACACCGGACTTGGAGATCCAGAGGCATGACTTGAATGCACAACGGCATCGGATTTTGAATCGTTCAGCCCCTTTCCCGGGAGACATCGCTGGAGAGATCTATGCTCATGATCCGATAGGGGCTGCCGCCCTAGCCGGGTTCAAACGAGAAGCGCAGATCAGCGCGGCCATCTTGGGGGAGGGTGCGGTTGAGAATGTCGAGGCGTTCCAGTGGGTCATCTCCGAGCCGGGCCACGCCGACTTTGGGGTGACTGTGGACGGGGCCCTTCTTGGAAATGAGGCGACAGGCCTTGCCTTCACCTTGAAGGGTGTCATCATTCGGGGAGGGGAGGAACTGTTCGTGGAAAGAGTCATGACCAAGGACCTCGATCTGTGGCGCAGGAAGAAAGGCCAGGACCTCTCGGATGTTAGACTGCTTGGTGACCACCGGGATGCATCAGGGAAGAAGCGTCTTGACCTCAAGCAGGCGGTCGCCCTGATGAAGAACATCGATGACAAGGAGTTCCCCATAGGAGGTGTCCGAGCAGCAAAAGAGCTCCATAAGGCGATTGCTGCCAGTGCCGGCGAGCTTTTGATCTACCACTCCGAATGGCTTCGGCTCTCCGGCGTGAACAAGAAGACGAGCGCATGTCATATTCATCGGGCTCTTTGCGAGGCACTTCGGCTCATGCACACTTTTGACCAGGTCGATGTGAGCGTGCTGGCCAGTGGGGAGCACCTTTCGCGATGGCTCATCCAAGTCGAGCTCGCTGTGGAGAGGAATCCGCATCAGCCAGATTTCTCTGGCCTTGACATCATCAGTGGCACCGCTCAGCTTCCCGATGGCCGTGCCAGCACTTCCAAGTTCACAGAATGGATCAGTAGCCGGCTCAAGGAACGGGCCACCATCTGGAAACAAGAGCGTCTTTACAATCAGGAAAGGCGCCAGCTTCGAGGAGCTCGGGGCGGCAAAGGAGAAGGTGGGCGCTCGACTTCGGATGAGGAGGAGCCTGGTCCCCCCGGCGGTCGGAAGAAAAAGAAGAAGAAGAACACAGGCAAAGGAGACGGATCCACAGCCACCGGGAGCGGTGGCGGTGACAACAAGTAAGTGGATCCTTTGGGGGTGCCTCTGCCTGGGACATGTCCCGGCACCCCTGCTCGAAGGCAGATGCATGGCGTGAATTCAGTCTCCGGTCACCCTCGCAAGGACGGCGACATGGAGATCCTTTTCCTCTACCTCGACTTGTTTCCGACTTTTGCAGTCGAGGTGGGGGGCATTCTGAGCAGCTCCGGCGAGTGGACAGCAGTCTTCGTTCTTTGAATGCTCTCGCCGCTGCCGAACATCAGGTCAATGCCAATTTTTCTGGGCTCCCTTTGACGGCCGTTCAACAGTGGGTCCTCTCGGATGTCTCTCGGCGGATTTCTTTGTACGGGACCTGCCCGGATGGCATCACTGAGGACTCTGCCCTTCAGGAGCTCAACCAGCGCGCCAACCTGTATGCTGCAGGAGAGCGGGCACCTCGCTGCCTGTGACCTTAGCAAGCCCTAAGGGTCTGGTTTCCTTTGGCACGTGGTTGGGGTTTCGGCACGTGGGTGTTCTATCTTCCAAGGGCCTAGGGGGCCAATTTGTCAAAATGGAGGATGTTGCATGTTACCCATCTCATAATCACAATTCCTCCTCAACTAGCTGCATGCGTGCTCATGGGAGGCTGAGGAGGCTATTACCAAGAAAACCACCACCCCGATCCCTGCTTGCGCTGCCCTATTAAGGTTTAAGGGTTCAGGGCTTAGGGTTGAGGCTCATTTAGGGTCTAGGGTTTATAAGGTTTACGACTTAGGTCTTATAGGGTTTAGGGTGTAGGTGTTAGGGTTTAGGGAGGGTCCAAGTACACATGGGCACTTCTATGACGACCATGCATGGTTACTCATCCCACGCACACCCTACATTTTGAGTGCTACTGCCCGCGCGTGTTGTTTCCAGCTCATGTCACAAGCTAGTGTGCGGCCCACATGAAATGTCTCCTTGCATGGCAATATAAAATGCAGCTATGACCAGCACAGCTAGCTTGGGGACACAGGCTTTGCAGCTCTGCAGAGCCGAACAGGGCAGTGACAGCGAACTGGCGCCTTGCGTAGGTTTCTGCTGCGCGCCAGCACCGGCTACTGAAAAAGCAAAATGATGCATGAGAAGTGCACCAGCTTGGCCGGGTACTTCATTCCCACCACTTCTACGGCACAGAACATTGCAAAAAATGCGTAGACACCGCGCACGAAACATTGTGCTTGCGTTTCGTAAACCTTTAGCACCATCACTGCAATCTACGCATCATCATTCCAAAGAGAACTTTGTACCTCTGCAGCAGCCTCCTTGGGAGGCTTGCACGGTGGCAAGACTTGGCCACTCGACCCATCGCCCCAACAAAGCTTTCAGCGCAAAACAATGTTTGGAACCGTGGGTTAATTTGATCGGTCAGAATTGTGTCTGACAACATGTGTAACATGTGGTGATGTTTTGGCAGCAGTAGCCAGCAGCTCTTGTTTGCAGAGTGTGCGCCCAACGTCCTGGAGGATTTATGCCGCAAGCTGCTATAGGTTTGCAAATGCACCAGGCCCAGTTGAAAAATCTGCCCAGCTGTGTTGGTATCCAACAAAAGGGGCGCAGCATCCAACATGCGCAGCATTGCCGTGTACGTCACCATGCACTTGGCGCATTCCTTGTCCAAGTCGGTAGCCTCCGGTCTGCTTGCAAAAGCTGTTGCTTCATCGGCCAACCAAAACGACAATGCCTTGGAGGCAGCGCCTTTGGCGCTCAAGGATGGGAAAAACGTTCGACCTTTTCTGCCGAGTCTGGCAGGTGTGAAGCGGGGATGGGTCACAGATTTTGGCTGCTGTCGATTCCAGTCTGAAAACCTTTTGAAGGCCTTATTCAGAACAGTGCTGAGGCCGTGCTCATAAGGTGTCTGCATGTCCCCAAACCATCCACGCTCGCATAAAAATGTAAGCATCGAACCTCGGATGGGACTTGCGTGTAGATAGGTACCAGGATTGCTTCGCAGGGATTCTTTTCATTGAGAACATGATCTAAGTGGTGAACAAAAAAGAAACATGGCTACATAAATAAAATTTTGCTTTTAGCGCTAAATTCGCTACACAAAGTGCTTAGGAACACTATAATTCAAGATTACTTGCGCGCAGGACATCCATGCAAACCTGTTTGTTAAGCGCATGTATGCGCGAATTGTAGCAAAACATGTATTCGAATGCCTACCTAGCACAGGTGTAATACACTATAATTTAAAGCGCTTGCGCTGGGGACACTTATTTGTATATATAGGCTTTACATATGCCAACACCTAATGAAAAAAGCGCTGGGGACACTTATCTATAGGCTTTACATATGCCAACACCTAATGAAAAAAGCGAAGAGTCCATTTGTCACTTTACCAGTCCCTAGCAACTGGCTGTGAAGCGGATCATGAAGGACACGGTCGTAGCGAAAGCCAGGAATCGAAAAGAAAACGTGTCCTAGGCTGTCCCGTACACGGCTGCAACAAAAAAAAAGCATGAACAAGAAAATGCAACAGGATTACATGCCATATTGCACCCATTATAAACACTTGGTGAAATTCAAGTGCATCCCGCAACGCAATGATGAAAAGCTTAAGGCTCGATCCTCTGGAGCTGTAGCCTCGATGTAGTCCTCGTGCGTGATGCGAACTTGCATGTGCGCTGCAGTTGTTCTGAAATCACTCAAAGTGTTCTCCAGTCTTCCACTCAGGTCCCGCTTCACCACGTTGCAGTACGAGCAGAACTCGTTGGCGTTATAGTCGTGCATCTGGAATCGTTCTTTCACCCATTTGAGGTCGCCAGTGACCGAGCTGAATGAAAACTTGTACCCTTCCTGGCACCATGGCCAATCATCTCGTGATACCAAAGCGCGGAAACTTTTGGCCAGCTCTTCGCTCAAGTCTGGCCACGTGTGTTCGCACTCCAAATATTGCGCAAAGCCGGCTATCGTGAAGTATCGTTCCAAGGGCCCTCTGTCGGCTGTAAGGTAATCCGTAGCCCAGGCCAGCACAGCCACCACCCCACACTCACTGTTCTTGTACGTATAAATTTCGTCCCCATAGAACGTGATGGGAATAAGTTTGGAACGATCACCCTGGAAATCTGCAAGAATGCGGGAACCCCAAGTCGTTTTCTCCACATGATTCCACAGGCTGCTCGCGTCCTGATCACCCAGGAAGAAATACCGGAAATACGGCTCACCCAGACGCCACAGCTCCACCGCCAAATCATGCGGAAAAATGCATGGAAACTGCTGAACTTTTATTTCAGCAGTGCTGGGCTTCACAAAACGTACCCCAATGTACTTGATGGGAACCTTCAGCTGCACATGCTTCAAGACTTGGTGTAAGTCCCGCTCGGCATTCGAAGGATGTTTACCACAAGTAGCTATTCTTGCCAAGCGCGCAAGCATGGATTTTCCATTTGTCTGTCCCCCAGACTCGGCCGTGTGTTGCATCGCAGCAGCAGCAATTTGTTGCACCTTGACTCCACCATGTTTCCTAACAAAAATGGAATAATGTAATTGTTCGACAGATTGCTTTTATACAATAGCTGGAGACCTGAAACTGAGCAGCTATCCAATTATAAATTGTGTTAGCGCCTGATACACTGACACTATTTGTGGAGCATACATGCAGTTGAGCAACCTTGATAGCAGGGGTGTTTCCTTCCACGAACTCGGTCACTAGTAAATCGGCCAAGGTTGTAGCCTGCGAAATTGCATTTAAAATTATACTTGATACCCTCGATATACCCTCAAATCAACCCGCTTAACCTAAGCTCTAAACCAAAAAATGTGTACAGCCTGCCGCTTCAAGGGTCGCTGATCATTCGCAGCATTTGCTGGCGCATCTGACAGCGCCGCTACAGCCGCCAGGTTGCCTGTCACATGAAGCCGCCTCTATAGGCTTTAAGAAACTCACACACGCAATCATGGGACCATCGAAGCCTCTGTCCACCTGCTCAGCTTTCCGCTCAGCAGCCGCGGCACCCAGAACTTGAACCTGGCAAGTTTTGAATGGAACTTGCTAAGTACGTACATATGATTGAGTATAAGTTATTACATTTTAAAGTTCAGGAATACGAATTTTTATAAGCGCGCTTGCGCTGCAATAGGGCGTCATGCCTATGTCCGGCTCGGCCCAACATCGTCTATATAGCTTTTACTGCTTTCGCTTGACCCGGCCTCATCAGAATTCTGAATTCTCGCGAGCTCGGCATCTGCGCACACAAAACATGCACGTTGCGAATGCTACATGACATGCACACGTACAGCATGAGAATTGCAGACACTGGGCGCGGAATGAAAGTGCAGCGGCGCAATTTTTTTCCGGGCTCTGCGTTCGCTCACGAACACACAGAGGATCTTCGACGACCCCTTTCAAGTTCCTGAATGCACGATATAATTTGCATGTGGGCAGAACCGCTTGCAGAGTCAGCCTGCGTTCCCAGGCTCGCTGCTTGGATCCAGCGGCGATCACACATGTACACTAATGAATGTAAAATTGCAAATTTTGCAATAATGGGTCATGTGAACGTACACAAACAGTACATCACTTGTCCGCAGCATCTTTGGTCGTGTCATCATCCTCGCTCAAAAAACGAGCAGGAATGCAAAGCAATACGAGCCCAAAACTCCCATATAAGAAAATATATATGGCTATATAATGCTATGAAGCCCAGCCCCATCCCCACCTTCTTCTTCCTTCCTGCAGCCTTCTCCTTGGTCAGCTTTGCAGCGCTCTCTGCGTCCTCTTTGTAGAGACGCATGCGATCCAAAGCGAGCTGCACAGCTGCTTTGAATCCCGCCACGTTCACAGTCAACGGATCCTGACAAAGTCCCGTGCAATGACATCTTGTAATTATAGCGGATTATTACATAGAGAATGTATAGTGTAAGTATCTAATACTCCCTATCGCGCCGATTGAAAAGTCCGTGGAGCTTCAAACATCCTATAGTAGACCATGATGCATTTTGTTGGAATCAAAAGGTCCAAATATCTAATATTACCGTTTCACCCCTCACCTATCTATATAGTATACTATAGAGCTGCACACGTGAGCACCATGACAAGATCTGCACACACACACACACACTTGACACACACACTTGACACCCACACACACACACACATGCGCGCGCATGCCTCCTTTTGGTAGCGCTTCAGCTGCATGAAGGACGCTTCCAGCTCGCTGATATGGGCAGTCAGGGTCTTGCCTGAACACATACGGATGCGTCTCACGCATATAGAAAATTGTAACTGAACACATACAAACGGGACTATGAACACGTTGTAACCAAGTGCACCAACAACTCAAGCCCTCCTGTTCCTACTAGTTCCTACGTGCTCCCCGTAAACGTCCATACCCAAAAGCTCTTATAATCAACCAGCGCAAGCGCTATATAGAACCGCTACAGCAAAACCCTCGAAAGTCAGGGCACTACTATACACATGCATTGTAAATAAAAATACCAACCATCTCTTCACGCAGTCGATCCAAAAATTGCAAGTAAGCAAGCAAGCAAGCTTGCGGTCAAGCATCCTTCAGGGATGCTGAAACTCCACCCTATTGGATTTAGGGTTTAGGGATTTAAGGTTCCTTGTTTAGGTTACAGGGTCTAGTCTAGGGTTTGATATCATAATGGTCGCGTCCAGCGGCTTAGGTCGTCCTGGTGTTTCACGGAGCTCAGCAAGAGGGGCCACATTTTGGCCTGTTGCACATCTGCAAACAGCATGGGCAACACGATGGCGCAGCTCTTGACAGGATCCTCCGGGAGCCTCAGAGTTCCAACTGCGCACTCACTGCAATGATTTTCTATTGTCACGCATGCCATGTGCCACACGTGGGGTAAATATCAGCAGGGCGCGGCTCGGGCTCCTTCTTGCCCTTTGCGCCTGGGCCCTTTCCTTTTCCTTTGGCTTTACCCTTCGGATCGTTGCCCGGGAGAGCTGTTGGCACGCCAGGCATCATGGGGGACCCTCCAAACAAGTTGTCCACACCCGCGCTCAGGGCACGTGCAGCATCTGAGCTGGACGAAGCCGACCCTGAAATACCAATTTCGATGCGATCCTCCGACTCTTCCAAGTGACTGTGAGTGAGGTCAAGTGTGACCTGAAGCATCGCGAAGGCGGGAGGGCGGCAAAGCTGCAGATGGGGCTATGTAGCTAAGAAGCGTAAAATAAGGTGAACTCAGGGTTGCCAGGCCAATCGGGGTGTTCTCTGAACAACCCCATTGCCCGTTTGCGAGCTATCAATTGCTCGACAGCAGCAACGTCACCGTTATACATGGTGAGGAGCTGGCTGCGCGTTCTCCAACCTCAATGACCATCAAATGCGAAGCAACATGTCGAGGAAGATTGCTACACGAACATAATCAGATATAATGAAGGCTAGCAACCGCACTTGTGCTTCCCCTGCTCTCTCTCAGATCGGCTGACCTTTCGGCCGACCTGCAGCCTGCAATGACATGAGAAAAATCGTGCACCTACAATTGAAGGGCTCAAGTTTCTGTATCTGCAATTTCGACTGAGACCATGGCTTTCCCCAGTCACCGCCAGCATCAAGCCACTTCTGAAACAAAACCGACTTTGCGTGGCGACTTCCGGACTTGCAAGCCTCCGTCCACGCGTCTTTGAGCTCAGCAGGCACACTGTCAGCAGCGTTTTCGCCTGTGATGGCCCTGCCAGCACAAGAGGCATATTGTCTTCTGTGATAGCAGGGATACAGTCATGATCATGCAAGCGCTCACACTGCAGCGCTGGACTACATGCCTCCGGAAACAGGCATAATGGGATTGTCGCTGCTTCCCGTCTGTTGGGGCAATGGGCACAGCCTGTTGTGCATATAAATGATCAAGTGATCGACACATGTGTGGGCGTGCATGCATGGCTAGAAACGAGAAAAAAAACCATACGTACTATTCGATCCCAGGCGCTCCCTCCGAAACCTTTACTGACTTCGCCACGTCCAGCACGGACTGAGCAGCAGGAACACCTCTTACCTTAGGGACTGCAACTGGCGGGGCTGACGAAGCTGTCTTCGCCGGGGCGGGGGCAGCAGTTTTGGCCACAGGAAGGGGGTCTTCAGCTGTAGCTTCTGGGATTGGCTTGAGGCGTCCCTCAACAACTGGGTCCACAGCTCCACTGCTTGGGGCTGGCGGAAGCAGCGCAGGCACCGTGCAGCTCTTCTTGGAAGGCTTGGGGATTGCAAGGGTGGTCACTAGCGAAGCTGGTCGCTTGACGGCAGGGCTGGCTTCCTCGGTCTTAGTGGGCGTGGGGGGGCAGCTCTTGACTGCCAGCAGAGCTTTCGCAGCTGGCGCACCTTCCGCTGCAGATTGCTCCTGCCAAGAATATATGGAATCAACAAAACTCAACAAAACTGCAGACAAAATCGGTCCTCCTTCGCAGCTGTGGTGAGCACAGGAGACGGGCTCTTTGCCAAGACCAGGCTGGAGCCCGTGCCTTTACCCTTACTTTCTACCTTGCAGGTCACCTCGCCGGAACCACTGGCTCCTGAAGCCGAAAGGGCAGGCTCGGGAGCTTCTTTGGCAGGCACCAGTGCGCCCTCAGAAGGTGAAGGGGTAGTTAGCAGCGGAGTCGCCCGGTTCAAGGTCTTCGTGGGCTTGACCCTCTTCCGGAGCGGCTCTTCCACAGCTTCTGTCTTGGTCAGCGGGCCGCTGGACTTTCCAGGGGCGTTGGCCGGGGAGGCAACGTAGTCCAAAGAGGCTCGGCTCGAAGGTGTGGCAGTGAAGGACGACCCAGCAAAAGACCTTAATCGTTTGCAGACACAGCGTGTTTTGGCTGAGCATGCAGTGCCATGTACATGGATTTTTCTTGCTTGCATGTGCAAGATATCCCCTCGAATGGGGTGTCGACGCAGGCACATTTCAATATCCGTCCCCCGGGTCTTCGGCACGTGGCCATATGATCCCCAGGATCGGCCAAGCCTTGGGGCCCATATATTTGAAAGGCCCTGCCCTAGTGTTGCGCCGGGGCAGAGCTGTTCAAATTAGGACTGTGTTGAGGGACGGCCAGTTGGTTTATTGTAGCCCACACCTTCAGGGAAGGGGATGGGAGATGACGCTAAACGCAGGCATCCAAGACCACGAGACGGAGTCGAGGAGCCGTTTGTCACCTCCCACATCCCGCAGCCAGTCAGCCACGAAAAGTGAAACCTGCATCAGCCTGTGATGCCTAAGTGGTTTCGGCTGAGCTGCTCCCGGTGTGGGCCTGATGGCAGTCCACGTTCATGCAACAAGCAGAAGCAGACAACCATGGTTTGTTGCAACAACAATAGTAGTCTTCAAACTTTGATTATTATGTTGCGCCTTCTGGGTCCTGAATTTGAAAAAGATAGTCGTTGTAGGCATGCCGTAGTTTAGCTTCTGAATAGCATAGCCCGCAAACAGGAACAGCGCGGATAATCTTTATAATGTTCGGAGTAGCAGTTCATGCTTGCTGACCGTACATTCCTTGCAACAGAGAATACGGAACAACTCTTGTAAATAGCTCTGCCCAGATGAATGACTCTATCTGACACCGCCTCACAATGAGGCAGGGGGTGAAGGGGAAGGTTGCATGCACTTGTCAAATCCGCGCGCGCCCCCGCAAAAAAACATTATCACATGTATAGCCCTTATATACCTGAACCCCAAAGAGATGTTGTAGATGGTAATTATAAAAATGTAGCGCATAGCGCTTCCTGAACCCTAAATCCTTTTCAGACACCCGGGCCCTAAACCTTACAAACCCCCAACCCCAAAAGATATAGCGCTTTAAGCGCTTTAGATTTTGAAATTGGGTGCATGCTTCTTGTTGGTGAGCATGACTTTACTAAACCTGGTTTGTTAATTGATTAGTAACCCAATCTGATTTGACATGTGCTCACCAACATGAATGTCTTTGCACTATAGACCCCCATTATAAGCCCCAAGCCCTAAACCCTCAAGCTAAGTAGCCCTAAACCTTTACCGCCAGCGGCCAGGATTGCTAAGGCCTCTGCAAGCGAGCCCTGAGTTCGCTCGGGGCTTCAGCAGCAGCAGAGCTTGAGGTACTGGTCTTCGACGACGGGGTTGGGGTGCCCTTGCCAGTAAAAGGTCATGTAGATGCGGACGCAGCATGCG